TTTTTTTGTGCAATCTCAATGGTAACTGCAACATTTGATTGGTTTTTCACTCACCACCAATGAAAATAGATACAAGATTTTCTTCGTCTTTATTTCTCATTCTTTTCTGTTTCTTTTGTCTCTCTCATCTCCTTTGAAGTAAAGTAGTTTGGTGGCTAAACTTAGTTCATTTTGTATTTTATAGTAGTTGAGTTCACATCGGCTTATTACCAAAGTAAGTTTTTCTTTCCTTTTGGAGCTCTCCCCTACATAGACTCACCCAGGACAGATTTTTGACTGATTCTGACAGCGCGTAAAGATCCGCTCCTGGAGAATAGAAACTTTCCCTTCCAAGAGCTAGGATTGATATTGCTGAAATAAGGCTTTTGATTCGCGAGAACAAATACTATTGTTATGATTAGATCAGACAGACCATCAGTAATTCTAACTCAGAATTCTTTCACAACGAGGGACAAGGAAAACACGGCAGTGAATGAAATTTCTGTCAGTTAACGAAAAACAACAATATTACTATAAATATAACTGAAAAAATTGTCGGTAGAGTACGGCATATACACCGCGACGACTTAGCAGTATAAAAAGACGGAGTAGATTCGATCAAGTGTTCCAACTCTTCTAAAGGCAAAAATTAATAAAATCAAGAGTGGTCGCTGTAGCGAGCAAATCATCACTTTTAGTGATGAAATTATACATTTTTATAGTAAACAAGTACTAGCTAAAAGAATCATTTCAAGAATTTACTACATTTTTTCTCATTTCACTCAAGAATTGCCTATTTACGTTTCAGATGCCTGACGTCGTAATTGATGCTGCGAAGTGTCTAGAACGAATTCGAAAACTCTATGCTTCTTGGCGTTCTGTGAGTACTTTATAGAATATGATAAAATTATCGTATTGTCTAACGTTTTTATTTAGGATGACGAACAATCATCGTTAGATAACAACCCTCTTACCACTGTTGATGCTGTTGTCATCACAACTGGTCAAAATGAAGATTTTACTTACAGTAAATCAGCTGCTATTCAAACATGGTTGTTTGGTTATGAAATGCATGATGTTCTATTAGTGTTTTGTGAAGAAGTCATTATATTTTTAACTGGTGCTAAAAAAATTAATTATTTAAAACAAATTGAAAATGGTCATAATAAAAACGGTGATAAAGAAAATGCACCAGGGAATTTTAAATTTCTTGTACGAAAAGACAATGATCAAAAACATTTTGATGACATAATTGAATTAATTAAATCTAGTCGAAATGTAAATAGTAAACAAAAAAGCCTTTGTTAGAGTGAAAAAAACAATAGTGTTTGTTTTGTGTCTAGGGGAAAACAATCGGTGTTTTTTCAAAAGACAAAATGGAAGGTCCATTTTGTGAACAGTGGCAAACACAATTGAATGAACAAGATTTTACAAGTGTAGGTTAAATTATTTACACAATTTCTGATGTTTATTTTTTTTTTATTATTTGCTATTTTAGGTTGATATAAGTACATCAGTTGGCTATTTACTTGCTGTCAAAGATGATAGTGAATTAACACTTGTCAAAAAAGCATGTGAAATAACGGGAAAATTGTACAGTAAATATTTAAAAGATCAAATTATCAACATTGTTGATACAGAAAAGGTATGTCGATTGTTTTTCTATCTTTATATGTGTGACTTATCAAAAGATTATTGTCTCTAGAAAGTCAAACATTCCAAATTATCTGACAATTTGGAGACAATATTAGGCGATGAAAAATACGTGACAAAAGCTGATATACCCTTTGTTGAAATGTGTTATCCAGCTATTATTCAAAGTGGTGGATCTTATAATTTAAAATTTAGTGCAACAAAGTAAATTAGATAAAATTTTTGTATTCTGAATATTTTACATCTTGTATTTTTACAGTGACAAAAGTTATCTTCATTATGGTGCAATATTGTGTGCATTTGGAATACGTTATAAATCTTATTGTTCAAATCTTGTTCGAACATTAATTGTTAATCCAACAGATGAGATGCAAAATGCTTACAAATTTTTATTAGACTGTGAAGAATTATTAATAAAAGAACTGACACATAGTGAGAAAATGTTTTACTTTTAATAATTTATATTTTCAACTAGTTCATGTTTGTACATTTAGATGCACGACTATGTGATGTATATAAAACAATTCGTGAAAAAGTTGAGAATGAAAGACCAGAATATGCTCAAAGGATGACGTCAAATTTAGGGTATGAAAAAGGCGAAAACAAAACATCTCTCGCTATATTTAATGTGTGTGTGTGTGTGTTGCATATTTTAGAACGGTTATTGGTGTAGAGTTTCGTGAAAGCAGTTTAGCAATAACAACCAAGTGTACCGCACGTGCTAAAAAAGGTAAATCAGATTACTGTGACATTTTTTTTACAACATCGAATTGTTCTTCTTTTTTGTAGGAATGACATTTCAAATTAGTATCGGCTTTTCGGAACTGGAAAATTCTGATGGTAAAGATGATCAAAGCAAAATTTATGCCTTATTTATTGGAGATACAGTTGTTGTTAACGAAGTAAATATTGAAATAAATAAATACAAACCGTTTATTTATGTATAATATTTGTTTTTATAGGATAACCCTTGTACAATATATACATCATCGAAAAAAGACATAAGTCATATTGCTATTATACTCAAAGTAAGATCAACTTTTTCCTTTGTTATTTTTGTTTGATATTGATTAGTAATGTTGTTTGTGGTAGGATGAAGCTGATACACAAGATGATGATGCGGATGCTCCTATAGTTGATAAAGCAGCAATTGGCCCAAGAAGAACGGCCGTGTTGGAAAATAAGACACGAGTATGTCTAATTGTATATGTGGAAATAAATAGACTATTTTTTACTCTACTACACTAAGAATGAAACTGTTCCTGAAGAAACACGTCGGGTAAATCAAAAACAATTGCTAAAACGATTGAATGAAAATGCAAAAATTCGTTTAACATCACAAGGAGGAAAAGTATCAGCTGAAAAGTAAGATAATATTTGTTGTTTGTGATGGTTTTCAATTGTCTTGTTGAATGATTATATTTTTAGAACTCGAAAAATCAATAATTCATATAAATCTGAAAATCAACTACCACAAGATCCTGATATACAAGATTTGAAACTGTTTGTGGGTAAGATTATTATCTTCTAATTCTACTAAAGAGTTTTTCAATGATTGTTTCTCTCAACAGATAAACGTTATGAAACTATCATATTACCGATCAATGGTACCGCTGCAGCATTTCATATTTCAACGATTAAAGTAAATCATTTTTCTAGTTCTATATTATAAACCATAAATTGATTGTTTTTTTCTCTCTAGAATGCATCGTTAGCTGTGGAAGGTGAATATATTTATCTTCGTATTAATTTTTTCAATCCAGGTGGTTTGGGAAAACAAAATGACAATTTTGATAAAGAACATGTTTATATCAAAGAATTGTAAGTAGTGACTATACTTTTTATCATAGTTGGTGAAATATATTCGTTTCTCTTTTCACAGAACATATCGTGCATCAAATGAAAAGAAAAACGACGATATAACAGCTCCAGCAAATAATTTAAATCATGTTTATAAATTAATTTTGGATGTACAAAAAAAATTCAAAGATGAAGAATCTGAGAGAAAACAAATGGAGGTTTGTTTATTTTCTTTTTATTTTGATAATATTCTATTAATATTAACTTTTTTTTATTAAAGGGTGTTGTTAAACAAGATGCATTGACATTAAATTCAAGTAAAACAAATCCAAAATTAAAAGATCTTTATATACGTCCTAGTCTTGCTAATAAAAAAATTAATGGAACATTAGAAGCCCATACAAATGGTTTTCGTTATACATCTGTTCGTGGTGATAAAATTGATATTCTGTATAGTAATGTTAAACATGCATTTTATCAACCGTGTGATAATGAAATGATTATTCTAATTCATTTTCATTTGAAACATGCCATTGTATTTGGACGTAAAAAACAAATTGATGTACAATTTTATACAGAAGTTGGAGAAATAACAACAGATCTTGGAAAACATCGTAATATGCATGATAAAGATGATATGTTAGCTGAACAGGTTTGTTTGTTGGTTTATTTGTTTCTTTATTAAAAAGAAAAGTATCATATCCTCGTTTCTTTTTTCTTTGTTTAGGCTGAACGTGATTTAAGAAATAGATTGAAATCAGCATTTCAAGGTTTTATTGAAAAAGTTGTTCAACAAAAAAATTTTCAAATTGAATTTGAAAAACCAATTCGTGCATTAGGTTTTCATGGTACACCACATCGTTCAATGGTGTTACTTCTTCCGACTACATCTTGTCTGGTGCATCTGACTGAATGGGTATGTTGTGTGTATGTGTGTGATCTATTGAAATAGCTATTGAATATATCAATTTATTTAGCCACCATTTGTCGTCGTATTGGAGGAAGTTGAACTTGTGCATTTTGAGCGTGTTCATTTTCAACTAAAAAATTTTGATATGGTATTTGTATTGAAAGATTATCAAAAGAAAGTACAAACTATTCAAGCTATACCAATGAATGAATTGGATCATATTAAAGATTGGCTTAAGTAAGAAGAATGGAGAAAAGTTTTTCATCTGTTGTTTATTGAGTTACTAATGAAGATTCGTTACAGCTTTTTTTTTACTTGAATAAGATTAGTAATGCGTACAAATCTTTAGAATGAGGACTACAAGATATTTATGTTTTAGCTCTTGCGAATTATGCTATACGGAAGGTCCTCAAGCATTAAATTGGGCTAAAATTATGAAAACAATTACAGATGATTTGACCGGCTTTTTTCAACAAGGCGGTTGGAGTTTTCTTGAAGCTGATACCGATAATGAAGGTGAAGGCGGCGACGGTGAAGACGATTCAGATGCTGAAGAAGACGATTATGAACCATCAGGCGATGACAGTAAGACGACAATTCTTTTTACTATTCCCAAACTCTGCTTCAGTTATATCTTAATTTCACTCTCAAGACACTGTTCTCATTATAAACGAGATTTAATTATCTTATTTTTCCAAATACCTAAAAAATGGATGTAATTTCTCATTGTCATTGGTCAAATTTCAGAAAAACAAATTCCGCTTAGAAATATTTGAAAAAATGTTGAAATGCGTCCAACTTTTGAGATTATGTCGATTTATATCTCGAACTTTTTTTCTAGGTGGTGAAGCAAGTGAAAGTGAATATTCGGGTGAGGAAGAAGATGTAAAAGCATCCGATGAATCAGAAGAAGAATCAGGTTAGTAATCAACAGTTTGTGATGAATTTTTTGACGGTGTTTTTGGAATGATTATGATCTATTTATTCTTTTAGATGTGTCTGAGGATGCGTTAGGTTCCGATGAAGAATCTGGCAAAAGTTGGAGTGAGTTAGAAGAAGAAGCACGAAAAGCAGATGCTGAAAAAGTTGAGTATGAATCAGATCATGGTGATCGAAAGAAAAAATCATCATCGTCAAAACCCACGAATAACAAACGTAAAGCTAATTCCCCACCACCAACAAATAATAAGAAAAAGAAATAAATGATAAACAGAAGCAACAATGAGTATTTGTTTTTTTCTCTTGTAATTTTTTTCTCATTTGCATTCTCTCTATTTTTCGTCATATTTTTGCTGTTGTAATTAGTGTGTCTAAAAATCATCTAAAATAAACTTTACTTTG